CCACGTGGAGTCGGAGTCGGGAATGTTCTCGGGAACACAGTGGAAGCCGCCACAAGCCGGTGGCAGTGCCAGCGGAGGGTGACAACGCACTTCAGGCGCAGACCAGGTGGAAGGCCCTTCCCACAGTCCTGGACGCTGTCCCTTCGGAGGACCCTGTGGAGCGCTCGCTGGGAGGAGCTGCTTCTGTTTCTCCGGGCTCCTGCAGCAATCGGAGGAGGAGGAGCAAAGCTTCTCTGACTTGGGCTGAAATTACTTTACACCCTGGCCCCAGCGGCTGTGAGGTGCACTGCCCAAGGGCATCCCTGGCTCCACCTGCGCTGACCCAACTGGCAGGGGGGCAGGGATGCGCACGGTGTGCGAAGATGGGGACCCTTTCTCTAAGTGCCATTTCCCAAAGTCCAGTCGGGAGTTGTGTTTTGAATTCAAGCTCACTTCTTGATAACAATAAAAATTGACACATTTCTATTTTTAAAAAGAGAGGGAGGGAGGGAGGGAGGGGGAGGAGGGAGCAGGCGTTCATCTGGGAGCTGTGACTGCCACCTGGTGGTTGACGGTAGCTGAGCAGCGGCAAAGGCGCCTGGCTGTCACAGTTAGACTCATTCATGTCTTCATGCTCCCCTCCATCATTTCTGTCTGGGAGCTGCTCAGTTGAGGAGGAGAGAGACAGGTACATCGCAGTGTGACAGATGTGGTGACAGGGACGTCTTGATCAGGGGTTAAGGTTTGCCTGCTGGAGCCATGCTGCCTGGGTCTGATACGCTCTGTGATTCTGGGATTTTTTTTCCCCTCTACAACTTGATCTATGCCTTTTATTCTTTATCTGTAAAATGGGGCTAATGATCCTTATGACAGAATCATAGTAAAGTAATCCCCTCCTTATTCAAGGTTTCAGTTAGCCTTGGTCAACCTTGGTTTGCAAATATTAAATGGGTAATCCATAAGTTTAAATCGAATGTCATGCTGGGTAGCATGATGAAATCCCTGTCATCCTGCTCCATCCTGCCATGACATAAATCATCCTTTTGTCAGCGTATCCATGCTATATATGCTATCCACCTGTGAGCTACTTAGTTTGTCTTAGTTATCTGATTGACATGGTGGTATCACAGTGCTTGTGTCCAAGTAACACTTATTGTACTTAATAACTGCCCCAAGGCACAAGAGTACTGATACTGGCAATTTGGATATGCCAAAGAGAAGCCATAAAGTGCTTTCTTCGAGTGAAAAGGTGCAAGTTTATCATAGGTATGTATGTATAGTGTTATGCTCGAATTCAGGACCCCCAAAGACCACCAGAGACTCAAGATCGATGCAAGCAGCAAAGAGGTGTTTATTGCGAGCTAGCTCGGTCCTCCGCATGCACACACAGCAACTGGTGACACTGAGAGGCCCCGAGCCCAGGGTTTGCAGCAGTTTTATACATTCTTTGGAGAGGGCAGGGACTTAACATACATCATAGCAAATCATCACACACCTCGGGAAAATGAAATAACAACTCTAAAACATGATTAGCACATTCACTGGCGGGAACAAGTTGGGTAGGGGTGATTGGTCAGAACAAAAGGGGTATTAATTTGAACTGATTGGTTTAAGCCAAGAGGGGTGTACGTGCTGAACTACATGATTTCCTAACTTTGTTATCAACCACCATAAACTGCTGGGAGGGCCATCTGGCAGCCCAGGTATTTCCCTGTCTCATGCTGATTGGTGGCTGCTAGGGGGTTGCTATGGATCCCCACCTAGCCTGACTGAGTCAGGGCACCTGGCGCAGCAGATCTCTCCTGTTATTTGTAGTTAAACAACTTAGCAAGGTGGGAATGTGCCTAGGAGTGCTCCGTGGGTTTTTCCAAGGACAAAGGTGATGTCCCTTCCTTGGATAGGCTTTGCTCTGAGATAGAGGCTGGTTTTTCAATAGGAAACAATATAGAGAGGTGTCAGTATTATTCAAGGTTTTAGGCAACCACTGGGGGGTCTTGGAATGTGTCTCTCAGATAAGCAGGGGTGACTATACTTGTCTCATAGGGTGGGTATATGAATTAAATGACACACTCCAGGTACATGCTTGTCACAAGTCTGGCTCAAGAAAGTGTTCAGTGAAAGTTGTATAAGGAAAAGGTGGGACTGTGTGGACCTATTGTGTGTCGAGTGCTCTGCTCCACATTGAAAATACAGTGGTGAACCAAGATGCTCCCGATCTCCTCCAGGTGGCTCTGGTGGAGAGAGGGTGTGAACGAGTCAGGGTGTGAATGGAGAGTGGACCGGCGCTGAGGCCAGCTGGGTCTAGCTGGGCAGGTAGACCCGTTAACGGGTGATCACGATTTGTGATAAGCTTGTTCTGGGTGCTTCTCAGAGCCATAGGGAGCCAGGCACCTGGTGAAAAACGGCTCCTGAGCTGAGCTTTGAGGTGAGGGGAAGCCAGTGGACGCAGGGGAGGGTCCAGCAGGTGGAGCCGGGCTGGTGGTGGAGCCCACTGAGTGCGGCTGAGGAGGTGGAGCAGTTTGGTGGGGCTGAGGCCAAGGGCACAGGTGGATGAGGCTGAAGGGGGGAGGGGCCGGACCCTCTGAGGACTGCAACGAGGCTCTGAGGGGAGCAAGGCTCAGAAGGGAGAAGGCCCTTGAGTGTCAGGGGCGGGTGGAGCAGCCCACTCCAGGCTGAAGGCTGGCCCTTGGCTTGGGTGGGATGGGTCAGCAGTGGATGAACCCGAAGGTCCCCTAGCACCAAAGGACGGCCGAGGAAGCTGATAGGGCAGGCTAGTGGCATTTCTCAGAGACAGTTGTCGTCAGGGTGTGTGTATTTGGAGTCCACCGAGAAGGATGGACGGGCTGGGAGAGGATTGCTCTTAAAGGCCTGAACCATGTTCACAGAAGAAACGAGACGCGACTTCTCCACAGAGTGAGCCTGACACCCAGGAAACTCAGGCTCTTTCCTGAGTCTTTCCTAAGGAACTCGGTGTGATGGAGACCCAGCTGGGCCTGCCATGCTCACCTCACCCTCAGTCTTGGGCCTAAGGTTTGACACCTCCCTCTCCAGCAGCAGGGACAGAGCACGGAAGGCCACACTGTCTGCCTGACACCAAAGGCACTGGTCAGGTCCCCGTGGAGGGGTGAAGCTTCCTGAGGGAAGAGGCGAGGTCTGGGCAGTGTGCACAGGGGACAGAGCGTGGGACGGTGGAGGAGCCAGGAAGGGAGGGAGGCAGGGGAGGGCTGGTCCTGCAGATTCCACCTCTCCTTCCCTCTGTGTGGGCTCTGTGATTTCTGACATCTGTCTGCTCATTTACACACAGATCCAGGTGACACGCCTGCATGTCAGCGCTGTGGTCAGCACCTGGGCAGGTGCTGTGGGAACAGGACAGTCAAGGCCCTTGCCTTCATGCAGCCACAGGGGTGGAGGGAGGGTGACCCTTTGTGAACAAGTAAACTACCACCAAGGAAGTCATTCAGACCACGGCACAGATGGCACCTGGGAGGGGATCAGGGTGGCTGCCCTCAGGGGGCCCTGGGGCTGGGATCTGAGCAGGAGAAGGAGCTGGCTGTGTGGATTTTCCCTAAGAGGGGCTTGGCTCCTGTCCAGGGGCCATCCATGCCTACTGCTTGTGCAGTTCACAGAAGGCCCCAGGTAACAGGGACAGTGGGGTGGCTTGGTGACTGAGCACACAGGCAGGCAGAAATGGGTGCTTGAGGTGCAGCCTCAAGCCCCCCCCCCAGGTCTCCCCATCCCTGGTCTGGCTGTGGGAATTAGTGTGCCTCTGATTTGTTGTCCCTCCTACCGGGTGACAACACTGGATTCAAAAGGAAATAATTCTATGCAAAAGGAATGTCGAGCCACTGAGGTGGTGAGACACAGAGGGAGCCACTAGGGGGGAGAGGAAGGCTTGAGGTGACTGAGGAAGGCTTGAGGTGACTGAGCAAGACCTACCCAGGCATCGTGGTTCTGGGAGTGGAAGGCACAGGCTAAGATGGCGAGCAGTGAGATGTGTGTTCAGAGCTTCTGCCCAGTTTCAAGTCAGGTTGGTCTTTGTGGAATTTTTGCGTGTTGGCTTTGCTAAGTTGTCTGAGTTCCTTATACATTTTGGATATTGACCCTTTATCAGACGTGTGGTTTGCAGACCTCTTCCCCCATCCTGTAAGTAGGGTGTCCCTTCTGATTGTCTCTTTTAGTCTGACATAATCTCTTGTTTATTTTTGCTTTTATTGCTGGCCTTTCTGAGGTCTTATCCAAAATACCTTTTCCAGATATTGTATATCAAAAATATGTACAATTATTATATGTCAATCAAAAATAAAATGAGCCAGGCTGTAGCGCACGCCTATAATCCAAATGGCTCAGGAGGCTGAGACCAGAGGATCATGAGTTCAAAGCCAACCTCAGCAACAGTGAGGCATTAAGCAACTCAGTGAGACCCTGTCTCTAAATAAAATATAAACAGGGCTGGGGATGTGGCTCAGTGGTTGAGTGCCCCTGAGTTCAATCCCTGTTACCCTCCCCCTACAAAAAAAAGAAACTCAAAAAAATTTCAAGAAGAGTTCAGATGGTTTCATGGGGCTGGAGGGACAAAGCAAGTTCAAGGCTAACCAAAGAGGGCCCTAGTAAACACTCTAGCACCTGAAGAGCTATGCTCTAAGTAAGGATAAAGACTAAACAAGATTCACACTCACTTCAGTAAAGACTGAACCCAGCAATAAATCACTTTGATTCCAGACAGGATTCAGGTAAACTCCCCTACATTAACTGCCTGCCAGAAACACATACATTCTCTGTGGAGTAAGACATTATCATATGGAGCTTCAAATAATCTCTATCATTTTTATGACTTAATACGGTGTTTGATAAAAAAAAATTCCCCAGGAATTTAAAATCCAATGACCAAAAACCAAGAAAATATTTTCCCATCATCATAATGGTATTGAAGATAACTCTGATTAATATGTAGTAGAAAAAACTCTGAAGAAATTCTGGATAAAATTCATGAGAATGGAAATGGAAATTCTAGAAATGAAAAATACAGCTGGAATTAAGAATTTAATAAAGGGAGCTCATGTGGATCTGGCTTCTGTTACTGTTAAAACACCTGAAATCATCAACTTAGAAAGACAAGAGGGTTGTTTTGGTCCATAGTTTTAAAGGTTTCCATCCAAGGTCAGGGATCACATTGCTTTTGGACCTGTGGTGGGGAAGAGTGGAGTAGAGTCACCCACCCTAGGCTGGGATGTGATGAAGAGAAAGGGGCTGGGCCCACCGTTCTTCCAGAACACACCCCCAATTACAGAAAACCCCGCACTGGCCACACCTCCCAGAGGTTCCACCACCTCCCAAGGACATCTTACTGGGGACCAAGATTTTAACACTAGGGCCTTTCGGAAAGGTCCAGACCCAAACTTTAGCAGGGCTTAATAGCAGATTAGATAGTTTTGAAGAAGAGACTAATTAACTGGTGCACAACAGGTAGAAAATAACCAGACCCTAGCGGTGAGTGGAACAAGCACAGACGCCTCGCAGAGGGGCGTGAGAGATACACAAAGCAGAGTGTCAAGACCGAATGTGTGTAGCAGGACCTTAGAAGAGGAGAGAGCAAAGCAGCAATGGGTAACCAAGCAACGGCCTAGAACTGGGCAGCTCCAACAAAGGGCTTCCGAAGCACCATAAAGCCCAAGCAGAGCAATGCCAAGAAAACCTCTTCCAGCCCATCACAGTGACACCTCCAAAAGCAGAGGCACAAGGTTAATCTGCAAAAGAGGCAGAGAGAGAAAAAAGATGCCTGACCTGAAACAGGTAGTGCTGAGTCCTCAACAGAAACAGATGGTCCCCGACTGAACATTCTTCCTTGTAGAATTCTTCAACTTTATAATGGTGCAAACTCAACAGATGGCCAGCGGAAACCACTCTGAATTCTGGTCTTCTCTTGCCCCAGCCGTGTGAGGTGTGGACCACGCATGGTCAGGATGAACTGCCGTGCTCCAGGGCACAGTGTGTTGCTGGGCCATGATGCCTGGTGGTCCAGATGAACAGGATTAAGTGCTTTTTTGACTTAAGATATTTTCAACATATAATGGGTTTAACGGGGTGTAAGGGTAACCCATCATGAGTCAAGAGACATCTTTACCAGAAACCAGAAAATCGTAGCTTCAAGGTGTTGAAAGAAAATAATGGCTACCTTGGATTCAATGTGCAGCAAAACATTCTTTAAAAATTCAGTTAAAAATATGTATTAGATAAAATCTAAGCTAACTCATCACCAGTAGGATCATACTAAAGTGAAAACTAAGGTGGCGTTCGAGTCAGCTTTGGTCACAATGACAAATATCTGGGGTAAACAATTTAAAATGAAGAGTTTATTTTGGCTCCTGGGTACAGAAGTTTCAGTCTGTGGTCCCCGGACCATCACTTTGGGGCCTGTGGTGAGGCAGAACATCACGTGGGGAGTCTGTGATGAAGCTGAGCTGCTCACCTCAGGTGTCCAGGAATCAGAGCAAGCAAGAGGAGTTAGGGTCCATTATCCTCTTCTAGGGCACGCCCCTAGGACCAGACCACCTTCCCTGAGGCCCCATTTCTTAAAGGCCCCACCACCAACAGTGCCACTGGCTGGCAAGCAAGCCTTTAGTACAGAAGCCTTTGGGAGCATTAAGGTGGCTCTTCAGGCACAGGGAAAATGACCCCACTGGAAAGCGTGGACGGGTGAAAGGCAGTGGGAGGGGTGAGAGGTCAGTGAACCCAGGCGAATGCTGGCCATATGAAGTGATAGCCTTTCTGCCCCAGTCCCTCCTACCCCTGCAATGATCTTGCCCTGCTCGCCCAATGGCCCCACCCACCCATGCAGCGCTCTGCGCCCCAACACAGAAGAACCCCCTCTGCTTTCCATCCCCAGCTGTCCCGCCCCAGCCCTACAGCGGACCCACCCATTGCCCCTCACAGAGGAACCCCTTCTGCTTTCCACCCTCAGCCGCACCACCCCAGCCCTGCATTGGACCCGCCCTCCTATGCAGCGTCCCGCCCCGCCAGAGGAACCCCTTCTGCTTTTCACCCCCAGTGGCCCCGCCCCAGCCCTGCAGTGAACCCCCCCCCACCCCGCAGAATCCCGTCTGCTTTCCAGCCCAGCAGTGGCCCCGCCCACCTGCGCAGCGCCCCGCCCTCCCACAGAGGAACCCCGTCTGCTTTTCACCCCCATAGGCCCCGCCCCAGCCCTGCAGTGACCCCGCCCACTCCCCCACAGAGGAACGCCCTCCCCTGCCTACCCGCGGGCCGCGCGACGGAGTAAGATGGCGCCAGCTGGCCGCGGGGAGCGGCGGGCTCCAGCGCGCTTCGTCTACGTGACCCGCTTCGGCTCGCACCAGTGTGGCTGCGTGTTGCAGCTAGGTGGCCCTCGAGCTTCCGGCCGCGGATGGTCAAGGCCCGAGACCCGCGGCGGCCCAAAAGAGCCGCGGGAGGCGGCGGCGGGGTCCCTGAACGGCGGCGAGCTGCCCGCGGGTCCCGGGCGCAGGGTCCCCGCGGGCCGGGCCGGCAGCTCCCGGCTACGGGCGTCGAATGCGCCAGGCCGCCCCGGCCCTGCAGGTGGCTTGGCGCGCGCGGGCGGGCGGGCGGGCTCCTTGGCGCCGCCACGTGCCGTGGCGGTCATTTCCTGTCAGCGCGGCGGTCACTTCCTGTCCTTGCTGCTGCGAGTCATTTTGCCACGCAGCCGCCCCTCAGTCTCCTGCCAGTTCCCCTGTCCCCCGTCCTGTGGGTCCTTCGCCTCCCCGGCGGTCCTGCGGGCCGACTGCTCGCTCTGTCCACTCCCTTCCCCGCCGCGGTAATGTCAGCCAGCGCGCAGTGACCCCTGCGTCGACCCTCCTGGCAGCCAGCCTTCCTGTGGCTTAGCTCTGCCGGTCACTCGCCCGTCAGCCAGCCCTCGCGGCAACCACCCCTTTGGTCTCCATCTCCGGGTGACTCAGTGGCTCGGTCGGTCTGGAACCCGCATGGCCGCCGGCAGGGGTCTGGGCCCGCGGTGCCGCCCTGCGCCACAGGCGCGCCCCTGGCCCCTAGTTTTGGAGATATGCTGTCCCCTCCTCTTGACGAGTTACCTCGTATTCAGTCTGTTTAAAAAAGCTACAATTTTGATTAACTGATAGATATTTTGTTTTTAGTCTCTTCATCATTAGTTTCAGCACACCTGTATTTCTTTTCCTGTTATTTCCTTAGGGTTTCTTTGTTCTTTTAATGGATTTTTTTTTAAGCAGGAGATTTCAGTGATAGTGAATTTTTAAAATCACTATTAAATATTTCCCTTAGATTCTAATATATATTGTTTCCATTGTCACTTTTTAAAAGTATCCATTAAATACTTATACCTCACTCTCCGTGGGGAATAAAGATGAATTATTTATCCATCCAGTAGCATTGTTTTAGCATCTATCACACTGTGGTGGGCACTTGGCTAGTGACAAAGATGGGTTATATATTCTGCACTTGAAGGACTTATACGTGAATTATGAGGATTTATGCTAGTAGCTGTGAGTGCTGGCAGAGGGACCTCAACCAGGCTTTGATAATCGAGTTCAAAGAAAGAAGAGGCATAGAGGCAGAAAATCAAAGCAACTGAATAGAAAAGTTTCTAATGGGACAGTAGAAATCCTCAGGCTTTGAAGTCAGAAGACAACCTTGGCTTTGTCTTTTATTAGTAGGGTAATACTGGATGTGTTTGTAACTACTCTGATCCACAATTTTTATATCTGTAAAATGCAATTAATATTTCCTACCTAAGTGAAATAATGCATGACAAATGCCTGGCACACAATAAATGCCCTGACTATGTGGACACAGAGCAGAGAAAGCTAGAAGGCAACAGGTGACTAGTCCAGTGTCTAGTATATGGTAGGTACATACCCATATTTATTGCATAAATGAAAAATAAGCTTTGGATCAGATTGTGGAATGTTTGTCATTTTTATCATCATTAAAGATTTTTGCATGATGGAGTAAAGTTATCAGGGACAAATTTATTTCTGGAAGATAAATCTGTTAACTGTAAGATATACAGGAGTTCAGAGATCCAGGAACAGTAAGATCAGGCAATCTTCTAACATTTTTTTTTCTTTTCTTTTTTGGAACCAGGAACTGAACCCAGGTGTAACCTCTGAGCTACACCCCAGCCCTTTTATAATTTATTTTTATTTTGAGGCAGGGTCTCATTAAATTGCTTAGGGCCTCACCAAGTTGCTATAGATACCTTTGAACTTGTGATCCTCCTGCCATAGCCTCCCAAGTCACTGAGATTACAGGTGTGTGCCACGGCACCTGGCCTAACATTCCAGAGAAGATTAATAAATCAGGCTGGTTTCTTGTCTACACAGAGTTTGGGAGATATATCCATAAGTTATAAATAATAGAGGATTGAATTCTATTGTGGAAGTGCTATACTATTTTGGAAGTGCTGAATAACTTGGGGGGTGAGAGAATCAAGGACAGCTTCATGGTGGTGGAAGTTCCTTATGATATCCATGTGGAGCTGATATGGGGCAAAGGACACTTGGGAGGAAATGTGGACAAGTTATTGAATATGGATCAGCGATGGGCAGTAATTAGGTAAAACTTTAAATACAGTTTGGATGGAGTGTGTAGAAAGAGGAGTAGAGAAAGGTTTGATAGACAAGTTGGGGCAAAAATCCATGGTATACACTGGAGTTAGCCTCAGTGTGGTACAAAAAAATAAGTGGAAGAAATATTTTTGCCTGTTTTGTACATTCTCTCTTTTGCTGTTTTTTGAGACAGGGTCTCAACTAAGTTGTTTCTTGGGGCCTCACTAAACTGCTGAGGCTGGTCTTGAACTTGCAATCCTTGCGGCTCAATCTCCCGAGCTGATGGGATCATAGGCATGTACCAACATGCCAGGCTATACTTCTTACCATATCTTAGATCTGCAAGTAATTACAGACAAACTTGATGGCTCCTATCCTAGCCTCAAGAAGTATAGGCATAGGCTGGATAACACTTAGACAGGAAATTTTGGAAATGATGCAAATATAATGTTCTAAATATTGAAGGCATTTAGAAGAAAGATTAAACATGGGAATATAAAGAGCAGTTTCCCAAACTTAATTTTCTATGTTATATATGTATTATCATCTATACTGTTACTTAATACATTTACTTAAATAAGTACATGTTCCTTCTTAATTAAATTTGTTTTTAGAATACCTTACATCATCACCGCACTGGAAAACCTATACTATTTGCCATAAATAGAAATTTATTAAAAATAAATCTAATAAAGACCAAAAAAAAGAATTCTAGCTAAGTAGGTTGTCTATGTTCATAAAAGGAAGTTTGCAAGACTTAGAGAAGTCTAAATGGCATGCTTGTGCCAAACTCAGACCTCCTCCTTGATATAATTAAGAGATTGAAAAGGAATTGGGAAGGGGATGTTTCTCACTGTGTGAATTATTGTCCTTTAGTACCGTGTCTGTGCCTCACCTATATCAGTGACATGTACCTCACCAGTTGGAAAGTGTCATTTTAGAGCTTATTCTAGTTCTTTCAACAAATGGAACAGAATTAGAAACTGAATCTCTAGGGAAGAATAAATAATCAAGTAAATAATGTGATAAATCCTGTGTAACTGAGCATTAGTGGTTTTGTAAGATTAGAGACTGGGTCCTGCAAAGCTAACTATGAAATGTGTAGAAAAGATTCAGGTGGAGTGATGGTGGGTCAGGACGGAAATGGGGAAGGCTAGGGGACACTGTAGATAAGGAGAGCAAATGCAAAGGCTTTTAGGGAACACACCTTGTCTATGATTTGTTTTTGGACACAAGTCCTTTGGTTTTCTTCTGTTAACTTTGGGAAGGCCACAATGCTGGTTCAGTGAGTGGAGTCAGTAAGCTTATTCATTCTGTAAAACCTCCCCCAACTTAGCCAATTTTTCAACTTTATGATACCTTGGTAGTTTATGATAACATGGTAGGAAACTTGCAAGTGCTGCTGGACAGTAACAGGGAGCTATGGCTCTCAATCATGGTAAACAGGTACCCTATCATGTACTGTATTGCCAGTGTTTTTGCATCCCATCGTGATAATGAAACATCCATCTCTGTGTCTGCATGAGATATCCAACATTGTATTACAAAGTGGGCTTTGCTTCAGGAGATTTTGCCCAACTGTGAGCTAATGGAAGTGCAGAGCCTGTTTAAGGTGGGCCAGGCTAAGCTATGATATTATGTAGATTAAGTATAGTAAATTCATTAGTAACTTGTATATTTTCTGATTATGATGGGTTTATCTGGATATAAGCCCCTCATAAGTCAAGGAGCCCTCTATAATATTACAGATGAAGAGATGAATAAGCCACACATGGCCACCAACCTCAGAGCCAGAACTTCCCAGAGGGAACAGATTGCAGAAACTTGATATAAAAGTGTGCTAAGCACAGTGCAGGAGGTCTGGGAGCCAGTGCTGTATGTGGGGCTGTGTCTTTGAAGGAAGGCTGTGGAGAGGAGGTGACATGTGAGTTGAATGTCGAAGGATGGGCAGAATTCACCTGGGGTATGTGTGTGTGCACACATGCGTGCCTGGTAGGGAGGTATGTGCAGAAGCTGGGAGGGGTATGTGTGAGACACACTGGAGGAAGCACAGGGGATTGTGTGGTGGGAAGCGCAAGCTGTCTCTGGAGGGCCTGGGAGAGGAGGAAGGCTGTGGAACAACAGCAAGGTGTGGTTTCTTGTCTTTGTTCTGTTGTTGACCCTTTGGGGACTCACAAATCAGAAAGGGGAGAAGATGGAATAGGTGAATGATTTCCTAGGTTACTTACAGGGTTGTTCACTTCCAGGTTTCTTGGTTTTTTTTCAGCATATTGTTAACTAAATGGTAAAGTAGTATTACTTGATGATCAGAAATATACCAACAAGTGTAAAAATTCTCCAAAAGACCTCAAGAGACATTTCTGAATTCTCTATGTTAAGGTTAGTGAATTATTGAAAATATGTACTGACTTTGATATGTTTTTACTCTCTTAAAAAATTAGGTGTCATTCAGAAGGATGCAGCTAAAAAGTTTGATTTTCCTATACAAGTGAATGAAGCCTCCAAAATAATGAAAAAAATGAAAAAGGTATATTATTGTAAAGGAGAGTGAGCAATACTTTGAACTTTAGATTAAAGTTCAAAGTGTGTGAAGATATTCAAGTCAGTTCAATTTTTAAAATAATTTAATTTTCTGAAATGAGAAAATAGAAGTAATTTGGCAGAAGTAAGCTTGGATATATTTATTAACCATGAAGAGTAGTCCTTAGAGTATTTGAAGGTATAAAATGCCTTTTGATCAAAGTGTAAGCCTGGGAGATCTTTTGAAGCATAATCTGTGTTTCATGGAATATAACAAATTGATAGATAATTTGGTATAAAAATAAAATCATGGATTTCATATAAAAGGAAAATTATCTATATCAGTGTCACATAGCTGTTTTCAAAGACAAGGAGTACATGTTAGGCCTCTAGTGGAAAGCTGACAGGGATGAATCTTTACTGCTGCTCTGTTCTCCACCTAGTTGTTCAAATGTCATGGTGCCTTTAGTGTTCTAACTAAGTCAAGATCAGGTGCCTTTGATTGCCATTTTAGTTTAATTTAAAGAAATTATTAGTTGATTATGATAAAATTGTATTGTTTCTGATCTTTGAATTTGTTTGATATATAATCCATATGTATATATAAAATAGTATGCAGGGTAACTAACCCTTGCACCATATGTACTTTGAGAGAGCATCTAATCTTCCTACTGCACTAAGAAATATTTATTCCAAGAACAATTTCCTTTGGGGTAAGGAGAAAAGAGCAGTAGCCAATATTTGCTTTGACTGTTGTATGTCAGACATGGAAATAAGTGCTTTACATATATATTTTTCATCAATCATAATAATTGAGGATGTAAAGATATTTCTGATGAGGTTTCAATCCCAGATTATGAGTCTAGATCTCATAGTACTCATTCTTATTCTAGTATATTCATGATGTCTAGTAATTTTGTTTTGCTATGTCCTTGAAAAAATATGTAATTCTTAACTAGAATTAAATACATTAAAAATCACATCACTGCCCAATGGTTTAGACATAGAAATAGAAATATACTATTTTTTTTAATTGAATGTTTTTGGAATCATTTAGGTTCCAACTTGATGGTCATTGCCTTTGAAAGGAAACTTCATACAGAACAGTTTAAATACTACAGGGGGTGGAATTCTAGGAAGTTGGAAAAGGAGAACAGATAATTCAGTGATCACAGGAAAAAATCATATTTAAATTTAGGTGCTAATGTTGCTTATAATGTTGATTGACATGTAATAGTGGGATCATTACCACTTGCATTCCTACATTCTGTTCAGCATTCCTTAATTGTGCTTATTTTTTAAGGTTTCAGTATGGAACAGTGTATACAAAGTCATTTCTAGAATGCTTGAAGAAAATGAAAAATATAGACTCAGGCTGAAATGCCAGAAGTTATCTAGTGAAAGTAAGTTAACACAATTTTTATTGTATTCAAGAAAACTGACTTCTATAAATGGTTTAGTTCACCTTGGAGCATGTTATACTAGTAGTTTTCCTAGTTGTCATATTTAATGTATAGAACTAGAAGTGAGCTTACTATGTTATCAGCATTCATCATAATTGAAAGCATATGATGTCTTCCAGGAGTGAGTGTAGAGCAGACTGCAGGCATAGGTATAGGAGTGGGTGGGTTGCAGAAAGTGTGTGTTGGCTGGAATTTATGGAGCAAAGGGAACACACTTGTCTGTTAAACGTGAATTTCAATATCAATCACAAAACTCATCCTTATTGATGAAGAAAAACATTTTAACTCTAGTATAAAATTATGCATTCTATTTATGTAGCTTCTTGTGGTCATTTCCTTTCCATGGATGTTGCAGTACAATTTAAGGCACTTAAAACCTGCCTTGGAGTTATGGCCTTGATGTCAGTATTTCATTCCTGGAAAACAGCTCATGAATTAAACCATGTTCTAAAGCCACATCAATAATGAGTTGATATTGTGGTCAGGGAAAAATATGATGTAATCTACTATGTTTATTATCATAATTGGAAGTTCTGGATTTTTAAAATGTCAAGTTGAAGAAAATTAATATAATCAATGTCATATGAATTGGTAAATCAAAATAGTTAATTTATTTGCTGCACATGCTGCACATGATGAATGCTGCTATGGGTGCTCAGAATACATAGTCACTTGGTGACAATTTTTGTTTGACAGTCATTAAACTTGTATTTAATTTTGTAAAGAATATTTTAATAAGATAATAAAACAATAGCATTTTGTAAGCAATATAAACACTGGAAACTTATTAATGTTCATATAATATTGCATCAATAATAGCATAAATTGTTTGCAATGGTGGCATATAAACCAATGTTCAGATTCATGATATTCTATCTATTTCACGTATCTAGTTAAGGACAATAAAGAGGAAGAGGGATTAGGAGCAAGGAAAGTGGTCAGAGATTGTTTAAAAGAAAATGTTTGAATAGGCAGAAGAGTGTGCAGGAACACTGGGCATTGTTCAGGATGATAATCCAGGTGTATGACCTTGAACTTGGCAGGTTCTTTTGTGCCTCAGCAAAAGGCCTTCCACTAAACATAAAGTAAGCTTGTAAAGATTATTTAACAACTTAATTTGTTTTGTTTTTCTGAAATAGTTTCTAATAAACAAAAAGGTATCCTTGTAATTTATTAGTTCACATTACAGTCTTAAACTAGATTACAAAATTTTTATAAAACCAATAATGTTTCAAAAATGTTATAACTTTATTCCTTAGTATGTATTTCTTAATGAGAAAATCAATGCTAAAGACAAACTTGAATTTTTGTGTTTTATATTATTTCTAGACTCAGATTACACAAGATGAATCTTATGCTCATCTTTTGGTAAGAATCCATTTAGATAATAACTGTATAGATTTTTCCTTGCCTTTTAATATATATCCACTGCTAGTTCCAGTTTACTTATATCCTTAATCCAGTATTTGTCACTCCTTAAGTATTTGTTGACATTTAAAACTTCATTTAGGTTCTTCTCATTAAACTATTGAAACCACTCCCCCAATGGTCCATTTTTTTCTTCTGCTTCCTTTTACTCATATTTCCAGTTATTTCTCTTTGAAAGTGCTGTCACATTTAATGCTATCTTTCTATTATAGTTCCTTCAACATTTTCTTTTCTCTTGTGTCCTGAAGACTGTCATGGTTCTCATTCTGCCTCTTTGACTGTATTTTCTGTGTATTTTTAATGTGCCCCTTTTGCTTTTCCAGGAATAACTGGCAGGCGGGTGCTCTCCTTACATTCACTTTCAGATAACATACTGATATTTATTTATAGCTCTCCAATTACTTCTTTTAGGAATATGACTTAAATCTCTATTCTATCTCTGACCTCTGATTTTCTTTAAGCTATTCCATAGTTACTTTTGATATCCCAGGTTTTAAACTGACCATCTTGTTCTTTTTTATTTTTAACAATCATGTCCCTGGTTTCTTAATAATTTAGACTCATTAAGCTCCTAAGGAGAGATTACATACAGTTTTATGGGAATTGAAAAATAATAGAGGAGGTAAGACAGGCCTTTGAAAATAAAAATTAGATTTTTATAAGTGGGACTGTGAAGAGGAGCATATACCTTAGATAGGAACATAACAAATTGATGGAGTACAACAGAATGTTGAGTGTATTAGGCAGCTTTTTGTTGCTGTGAAAAACACCCGAGAAAAACAACTTGAGAAAAATTTTCTTTTGGCCCATGGTTTCAGAGGTTTCTCTCTGTGGCTGACTGGCTTCTTTGCTTTGGTGAGACAGAATCCAATGGCAGAAAGGCATGGTGTGAGAACGCTGCTCACCTCAGGGCAGCTGGGCACAGAGAGGGAGGGAGGAAAGGGCAGGGGAAGGCACACCCCCAGTAACCTACTTCCTCCACTAGGTTGCCCTTAAAGTTTCCACCTCCCAATGGTGCCACCAGCCTCTAAGCCAGTGCTACAGCCCTGGCAAGCCAGTTGCTTCTTAAGAGTCCCACTTCTGAACACTGCTGCATTGGGCACCAGGCCTTCAACATGTAAGCCTTTGGGCGTCATTCCAGGTCCAAACCACAGCATTTAGGGAATGTACAGTTTTATTAAAGATTACTTAAGATAGTATGATTAAAGAAAGATGTAAAAAACCCTAAGATTGTATTTCAAAGAGTCTCACTTAGCTGCTAGGCAAGGATCTGTAGTCTGTTTAGCAGGTAATGAAGAAGCATGGACCACTTATTTTAAATGATTTCAAATGTTCAGGAAAGTTGCAAGAAGAAAGAACTCTATTATTTATCCAGATCCACCAATTTTAGCATCTTTCCACATTTGCTTTCCTATCCTTTCTCTGTGTATGAAACTATTACCCCTAATACTTTAATATGTAGGCCCTAAAAAAGTGTATCTTTTGTATAACCACACTATAATTATGGAATTCAGGAAATATGACATTAATATAAAACCATTATATAATTTATATTCTGATTTTTTTTCCATTGCCTCAAATGAGTCTAATGGTAGTTTTTTCTATGTACCAAGTCCAGTCCAGGATCATGTATTGTATTTAGTTGTCAAATATCTTCTTAAATCAGTAACAGTTCTTTAACTTTTCTTTCTACTTCATGATTGTGGGAGGCCAATCTAGCATGTGACCATGTTTGACTCCCCTGCTGAATGGTATGGCATCAGGCCATCACGCTGCTGGATAGCCCCAGTCTTCTAGGGTGCTATCAACTGTGTCTTAGTGCAAGGGGCATGTCTCTCCACATCCCCAGGGATCCAATCACCTCACTTGTCCTTGTAACCCTGCCCCCCTTGACCCTCATTGGACCGGGATTTCCTAAAAATTTAGATTCCCCTAATAAAAGCTCGCTCCAAAATGTGTTTGCTCTCTCGCCAACCTCTCATGTAGTTCCTTGCTCTCCCATTTGGAGAGCTTGAGGCCAAGGGCAGAGGCGCCGTCCTGGAGCTTGGTTTAAAGGTAAATTGTGTGTCGTGTTTTATTTCTAATGCCTTGAGAATTTCCCCCAAGTGACCTTAAGTTAGCCATCTGTGCTGGACATGATATTGACATTTTTTTTTTTTTAAAGAGTAGACTAGTTAAGTTTCAGATTATTCCTCTGGACTTGCTGGTACTTTGTCATTATTTGATTTATGTTATGCATTTTGACTGGAACTTTATATTAGTAAATTTACTTCTCAAAGTGTCATATCTGGAGTCATGTGATCTTCATTGATCCTTTATTGACTTGGATCTCTAGGTTAAGTTGCCCATTTATAGTTACAATTTTTCTTTTTGTAATTAATGAATATTCCATGGAAAGATAATAAGAGAAGAATGCAAATATCTTATTCTTCATCAATATGTAGAACATTTTAAAACAGTGAAGCTATCAGATCTGCATTTTAGAACGAATCTGTCATGTGAAAAGGTTTTCAATGGAGACCAATCAGGAGGTGAAAAAGAAAACTTGTGACTGTCATGGCAATCCAAGTAAAAAGTGAAATGTTCTTGAAGGAAGGTGGAAGGGCAGGTAGAGCAGAGACATGATTAGATGTCAGGATCAGAAAGAAGGCACTGAGCTTTGAGAACAAGGAAATAAGAAAGAAGGAAGTGGGGAGAAAGAACTCTTTAGTCAATGTATTGGCTTTTATTTTTGAATGTTGAATGTCAGGTGAAGTGAGGGGACCCAGGTAAAAATTGCATGCAAGCAATTTTTGGAGCCAGTGTGATCAATCTGAGCTGCATAAAGGTCATTTGTAGCTCTCACAATAGGGGCAAAGGAAAGCTTGGTTGTGAGATGGAGAGAGGAGACTGCACACCAGGTGGGTTGAGGAGGAAGGGGAGTTTTTAGTTTTAAAGTTAGGGATTCTAGGGGCTTACTTGGCAGTAAAGAGAGAGCTGACTGAGGGTTAGTGAGAGAAGCACAATGGAGTCTGCAGGAGGTCAAGGGACTGTGCTCATTGAGAGTGAGGGGCATGGACAGTAGGAGGAAGGGAACATGTCATCTAGGAACTCTAAGCCTTCCAGCACCCAGAAGCAAAGCACAAGTGATGGCAGGTCTGGGAAGTGGGCTTTCGGTGAGTGCCTGCAGTGGCCTGTGACACATTTCTGGGACATAGTTCCTGTCCATGGAGCTGATGAAGTCACCAAGGGTATTAGTAGGAGTTGAGTGGAGAAGGAAAGTACGGGCTGTACCTGGAGAGGCCATGGCTGACCAGAGCAAGCATGTCATTAACACAGTAAGTGCAGGAGTGTCCTACTGGTCTCTACAGTCTAGAATGTCAGAAATGTCAATGAATACTGACTGACATGATGTTTTATTTTATTAATAAAATTAAATTTTGTTACCTTTCATTTAGGATTAACCTATCTTTGGATTTATTTACCAGTGAAGATAATGAAGAGTTTAAAGATGGAATGTTAAATGGAATCACAATTATTTGTTAACTTTGGTGTGATTTTGGAATTAGTAATATAATAGTTCAGTGGAAAAACTAGCCTCTTTATAAATTAATAGTATTTTTTTTGCAAGCCGATACAATTTTTAAACATTATTATCATATGCATGCAAGTATTATTTTCAGAATTAATACTTTTAAATTAATCTTAAACATAAAATTTAATTAGCATATAACACAATTATGTTTATAATTGGTAACTTTTACCTTTCATTAGTAAGTCTGCAACTGCTACTTATACATCTCTTCTTTTAAGTGTAACTTTTAAATTAAACTTGTATTAATTTAAATTATTTTTGGCTTCCTCCCTTTGTTTAAAATTGTGAAGAGCAATAATTATTTTGGGTGTTAAAACTAAACTAATTATTACTTAAGCTGTGCTTTCATCCTAAGGATAATTAGCCTGTGTATATGTTTATGATATGAATATATTACAATTGACTCTATAATGATATGGAGTATTTTAGGAACATTTTTGAGCAAAGATCAGAGGAGATGCCCTTCTCCATGGCCAGACTCCTAATTAAAAGATACATTATTTTTAAATCATTGAGGGAGAACTTTAGAACTCTGAAACAATTATTTAGAAGTGTTTCCCAGTTTAGTTCTTTTATTTTCCACCTAATATTAAGTAGTAAGTAATGTTACATTAAGCAGTGTTCTTGGTTTTTTTGCTGGCTTGGGAATTTGGGAGGGAAAGACAAAAGAGGGTTTTCAAACCTTTTGTACACTACTTCTTTCCCTTGAGGTGGTAGGTCTTTTCCTTTAATAATCCAGATGGGAACACGGATTACATCAGTTCCTCGTGGAAGCATTGAGAGGTTGAGCTTCCTCAATTTTCTTATACTGGTGATGCAAAATGGGAACATACAAAATTATCATTAAACAATAAAAGATATAAGCACTGTAAAATAATTCACAGTGTTGTTTCTTCCTCTACTTATAACTTACTTACTTCATAAAAGTCCAATGGCCTAGGATTTGAAGCAGCATGTCTTCTGGTGATTGTTTACCAATCCACTTGTTTTTAGTTGAAGGACATATTGCCTGGGCACATGGCCTAGGTCCTGCCTGTCACATGAGGTCCACAGTTCCCCTGCACACAGAAACATCTAACTTCTTTAAAGTGTGCTGAATAAATTATTAGTATGCTAAATCCTTGAGTGAAGTTTCAAATTTTAGCATGTACAACTTAAATGCATTGCAAAATGAGACATGTTTCTATTGTAATTTATGCTGCATAAAGTTTTGTGGTGAAGTTTTAGGTTTCTTCAGTGTAGTTTTTATTTATGTGACTTGTGCAACTTGACATAGTAATATAGTCTGTTTTATCAGGTGTGCTAGTATTCATTAGATTTACAGTATGAATCTAATGCTGGGTACAAACTTAGTTTGTCTCACTGTTCTAGAACCATGGAATAATGAACACTCTCACTGAAATGAATGCTTTAAATATTTTAATTTTTGTTAAATAATTCCTGGTGAAAATGTATTGAAGTCTCTGTTTTCTTAAATATAATAGGGCTTCTTTGATGACATGTTCATTGTATACTGTTGTTTATTTATGATTCTATAATTCTAGCAAGGTTGATGACTCTGATACATTAAAACCTCAGACTACTATATAGTCTTGGCTTCTCTTCATCTGTATTCCAAACTCTCTTTTCTGTGGCCTCCATGAATAGGAATGTCCACTCATTAAATCCATACCTAATTCTTTATTTCCTCTTAGACTAAAGGCAGCTTATTTTAGCCCAGTAGTCTGGTCCTGTAGCCCTACATTCTTATAAAGGCATCATTAAACATCAGAGATTCTGCATACAGAAGCTTAGGTAGCTTGAGTCGGTTATCAACTTGTCCTCCTGATGCAACCAGGAGATGCAGTAAACAAATGTGTGAGGTTGCTACTGGCATAACAGTAGACTTGTATACTTTAAAACAACAACAAAGCATAGTATAGTAAATATATAAACCATTAAAGTTTATAAAGTGCATAATGTATGTGCTATACTTTACTATATTTTTTCTTTTGCAATGCTAGGGATCAAACCTAGGGCCATATGCATGCCTGCATGCACTCTACCACTAAGCTACATCCCCAGCCCTGTGCTGATTTTTATATGATTGGTAGAACAATAGGTTTGTTTATACCAGCATCATCACAAACACTTGAAGAATGCATTGTGTTAGCATGTCTGTGATGTCACTGTTGTGTATGAAATTTGTTGTTGGCCAAGATATCATTATGTGATGTATGATTTTATTTTCATGTTCTGTTTTGGAATTTGTGGTAGATGTTTTATGCTTAGATGTGCAGGGCAGGAAGAGGAGAAAATGAAAGATTTTAGTGAGTACAGAATAGAGAAGAAATATGTCAATATTTCCAATAATCGTTCAGCCATTTATTTCAGATAACTCAGATGATTTCAAATGAACTTTGGAATTATGAGGAAATATCAGTGGGATCTTCTAACACAGAAGTAACGGAAGGTTTTTTTTTTTTTTCCATCTAATGCAACATGAAGAAAGGATAACATTTTAGAAAAGTCTTGAGTAATCTAGGACCCTTCAGGAAACAGGTTTATAAAACAGTAAAAGAATAGTTTAGAACAAGGGAACAGGCTTGAGGGAACAGGGAGGCTGAAAACTCTGGGAGTGGATGGGGGGGAGTAGCACTGCACAGCCTTTTACTATGGGGGAACACTTGATGAGGCAGAGGTATGCCACTGGAGTAGTATCTACGTTTCTAAGTGGGGATCATAGCTATGTGCTGGTAGTATACAGAAGGATTCACTTGAATCCTCAGAGTTTGCAAAGGTGGTCTACTCTTAGCTTGTGTTGGAAGGTGGTGCAGGAGCCCCACCTTTAAGGCAAGAGATGTTCTTCTCGGGAACTGCCTCACCTCTCTGTCTAACTAGGATTAAGTCCTAGTGTAACCCAACTGGAAAAGTGCTGGGCCAGATAAAGGAAGAAGGAGAGAAAACATAGAAAGCTCTTTAAGAATTAGTTAGCATGTATTGTCATGAACAAGGGACATATCTGGGATGGATGCTGAGACTGCATGATCAAAGAGGCTAGAATTCAAGCCTATAGATAATCAGTGATCCACGTACTTTGGGACACTTTTTTAGATGCTTGGGAAAAGAAGAATACTTAGGAATATTGATCAAAGGTTCTGAGTTGACATTGATACTTGGAACTGCAAAGCATCTTCTAGGCACCCCTATTAGAATGGAATCTTCTAGGAATGAGGTAGTAAATGGAATCCTGACTAAAGTCTGGTGCACAATGCACCCACTGGGTTTATAAACCTACCCAGTAGTCACTTCCCCATTTCCCAGGTATGTGACAGGAGTTGAAGTACCTGGTGGTTGAAGTAACCCCCACATTGGATACTTGTCCTGTGCAGTAAGAGTTATAGTGGGAAAAGATGAGTGGAAATATCTAAAATTGTTCCACTGCTCCTAGATAAGATATTAAATAAAGAGCAAGACGATGTTTTACAGGTGTAGGAGGATGGCAAAGATTATAGCTACAATGAAAATGTGAAAGACTGTAGACGACTACAGACTTCATTGAAGAGTAGCCCTGATCACAGCCTCTGTGTTAGACAGACATCATTGGTAGAGTAGAAACATGGTATTGATGTGGTAAATGCATTCCTTTCCATCCTAATCAGAGAAGGACAGTTTTTAAATGATACATTTCTCACCTAAGAACATTGATTATATCGGCCCATACATTAGGTGACATGGAAATTTGTCAACTTAAGTGGAAACCAGTGCAGAAAAGAGCTCTGTAGCAGGTCTGGGCTGTGGTGTAAGTAATCCTGCTGCTTGGGTCATATTATCTGGCAGATCTTATGGTGTTGAAGATGTCAGTACTGGAAAAAGATGTAATGTGTTGCTTATGGAAAATCTTAGGCCCTATAATGGGATTATGGATCAAAATCATGCTGCCCACAGCACAAAATTAAATGCCTTTTGAAAAACAGCTTCCTATATGTTTCTGGACTCTGGTAGAGATGAATTGCCTAGCTAGGACGCACCAAGTATGTATGCACCTGGAACTTTGTGAATAGGATTCTTTTGGAACCCATCAAGTCAAAAGCAACAGCCTTGGGTTGTTGGGGCACATCAGTATGGCCTCAGGAGGGGAGAAGTCTGGGGTCCTAATTCAGCCTTTAATGATGTGGGTATGGTGGGGGCCCCAGTTTCTTCCGTGGCACTTGGCTAGAGTGCAGTGGTTATTTCCTTAAATTTTGTCTTGCTAGGCTATCCCTTTCTTGGTTTTCTGAGGGGCAGGGGTAGATTGTTAGAGTCTGTAAACAAGTCAAGATGGTGCCTGGCGTTTTGCCAGAGGGAGTGGTTTGTGAAGTAACGCCAGTGAGCCATTAAGATGAGAGATTCCTTAATGACTGACTGCTGTGTCTAGATTATGTCAACTAAGTTAAGCTGTGTGTAATCATTAAGATGATGATTCCTTATTGGTTGACTGCTGTACCTAGTTTATGTTAATTAAGATAAGCTGTGTGTAATTAGTTATGTATATATACCCCTACTGTCCTACAATAAACGGCTCCCACTTCTGCTGTATTAACCTTCACAAGTTGCTCGTCACCCCCGGGTTAGTTTGCTGCAGCCAGACTTCGGTAGTGGCTATTGATTGAAAGCAGGCTTCCATTGGACCATTTTTGTCCATGCCTGGTGGCATTTTCAAGTGTCCAGTTTCTTCAGCTTCAAGTCTGGAATATATGAAGCAAAAAGAAAATCTAGGGAACTCACCGTGATGGTGTTTCATGAGTCATGAGGTCTTGATCCAGTCTTTCTCCTTCCTTTCCTCTCCGCCTTATGTTTGTTTTGTATATAACGTCCAAGATTTTTAGTCTTAACACTTTCTAGAAGGAATAGGAAAACATGTCTACTCCATTTCCCTGGAAGCATAGTCTCAACTGATATTTTATGAGGTAATGAAACATTTAATTCAATGAAGAAAGGGTTATTTTTTCAATAAATGGTGCTGGAACAATTGAGTATTATGTGCAAAAAAAAAAAAAGAATCTACCTAAACTTCATATCTTATATAAATAAATAATTCAAAATGGATCATAGATATAAATGTAAAACCATAAAATATTTAGAAGACACAGAAAAAGTCTTCACAACATAGAATTAGGCAGAGAGTTTTTAGACATGCAACAACAAAAACATCCATAAAAAGCTAGAAAACTGGCTTCATTAAATTTAAATCTTTCATTCTGCAAAAGTCAATAAGAAAATTGGAAGCTATAGAATGGGAGAAAATATTTGAAACACCACAGATTTGATAAAGACTAGAATGTAGTATATATAAAGAGCTAAACTCAATAGTAAGAAAATCAATAATTAAAAAATTAACAAAAACTTGAACTTAGTCTTCACTGGAGAAGATATACAGAGGCAATAAGCCTATCAAGGAATGTTCAGCATTGTTGGTTTTTAGGGAAATGCAAATTAAAACCATGATGAGATAACACTATTAGAGTGGGTAAATAAAAATTTCTGACTCCATCAAAGGCTTGGAAAGGGTACAAAGCATCTTAGATGGTCATATATTGCTGGTGAGAATATAAAATAGTGTAGTCACTTTGAAAAATATTTTAGCAATTTCCTTAAAAAACTACACAAACCCAGCAATTGTACTCCTGGGCATTCATCCCAGAGAGATGAATTTTTGTTCACACAAAAGCAGAAACCTGTATATGAATATTTATAGCTGTTTTATGAGTAATAGCTGAGAGCAGTAAGTGACCCAGATGTCTTTCAATGGAGGATTAAATGAGGTGCCTTCATACCATGGAATACTCATCAATGAAAAGAAATAAGCCATCGTGCAACAGCAACCTGGACGAGTCTCCAGAGAATCATGCTGAGTGAAAAAGGCCAATCTCAAAAGTGATGTGTTATCTTATCCAATCTGCATTACATTCTTGAAATGATAAGATTATTAAATAGAGAAGAGATTGGAGGTTTCCAGGGTTTACAGAGGGCATCAAGGCTGGCACCTGTGGCTATGGAAGGGCATTCTGAAGGAAGCTTGTGATGATGGACATGTTCTGTATCTCGACTCTGTCAATGCCAGTGTTCTGCATGGGATTTTTCACTGTACTTTGTGAGATGTCATCAATGGGGGAGCATGAGACCTCCTAAAATTGTTTGTGACTGTGCAAATTCTCTCAAATAGAAAAGTTAATTTATAACACTGCATAATAATCCTTATGATAAATCATTATTTATAATAATATAAACAAAATTTTCCTTAAAAATATCAGTTGACCATGTTTGTGATTATTTCTGGATGCTCTATTCTCTTCTGTGGATATGTGTCTCTCTACTCTTTCTCCAAAAGCACACTGTCTTGAAGCTACAGTAAATGTGGTTAGTTTTTCCTACAACTAGCTATAGTATTTTTAAAAGTTATGTTGTGAATGCCCAATTATTTTGACTCTTCTAGTCATTTGTCTTTTCATATAAATTTGAGAATCAGCTTGTTGGTGTAGATAAGAAACACTATTGGGCTTTTTATTGAGCTGTATATAGGTGTTTGGTGAAAATTCTCATAATGATATTAATATTCTAATTTGGGAATATGGTGTATATCTTCACTTATTTTGGTCTTTTCACTTTTTTGGGTTTTGAATGCACTGTGGTTTCAGTCTGCAGATCTTCCATGTAAGATGTAGGCATAAGTATTTTGTGATTTTTGGTTTTACTCCTAGTAATACTTTTTTTTGTCCATTGTTCATATATATTTTTTTGTGATTTCAAAGACAATTATTTTGTTTTTGAGTAGAGATTTAATTTCCCCTTCCAATCTATATATGCCCTTTTCTTATTATTTGAAAATTTATTGCACAGGCTAAGACTTACAGAATATCAGCTGTCATGTTGGTTTTTCAAGGATCCTAATGTGTCCTCATTGGATTTCATTATGATGGCACTTGATTGATGCTCAGAGAACATTTCAAACAATTAGAACAGGCCAGTTTGACTGTGAGTCACCCCATTAGTCTCAATAGTTAGCATCTGCCATATTAGGACTATTTCCTCTCTGAGCCAAACCATTTCTTTCTTTCTTTTTTTTTTTTAAATCATCATGAAAAGGAATCTTCTGGGTATCAAAAGGCACAGATCAAATGAGAACTGAAATTATCCCAACAAAAGATAATGCCAAGTGGCTGCCAATTATGTACTACCCACTCCTGCCTGAAGGTGGGAGTCTTCAGTTATGTAATGGTCTAGGGCAGAGCTTTGTGACCTCTGTACAGGAGTCTCCTACCTTATGTGAGTCTGGTTCAAGTAAGACATGCATACATACATGCATTCATGTTTCATATATGTTGAGTCAATTTCATGTACCAGATTCTTTTCTAAGCTTTGGGGAAACAAATGTGAGCAAAATATATAAAAATCCCTATCTTTGGGGGAAGACAGATGTTGAAATAAATATTAACTATGTTTTTTAATAAAAAGTGCTAAGGAGATGGGCACAGTGGCACAAGCACCCAGCCACTCAGGGGGCTGAGACAGGTAAATTGTGATTTCAAAGCCAGCCTCAGCAATGGTGAG